TAAACTGCCCGACCCTTAAACTGCCCGACGTCCAATCCTAAAACATGTTAAGGCTTAAGCCCTCAAACCGCACACCTTTACTCCCAAGCACCTAAACCCTGAAAACCCACAACTACACTTCCCAAACCCTTCCTCCGAAGCCCTTAAACCCTTAGGCTCTTAACCTTCAAACCCTTAAACTCCCTAAACCCTAGACCCGACACCCTAAACCCTAAGCCCTAAGCCCTAAGCCCTAAGCCCTAAGCCCTAAGCCCTAAGCCCTAAGCCCTAAGCCCTCAAACCCTAGACCCTAAGCTTAAACCCTAAAGCCCGAAGTCCTTTAACCCCACCCGGCCTTGAGGCTCTTTCGCCGTAGTGCCTCCTCGGCGATCCGGCGCCCGCGCGCCGCTTCAGCCAAGGCCTCGTGGTCCAGGGTTTAGGGTTTAGGGTTTAGGGTTTAGGGTCCAGGGTCCAGGGTCCAGGGTTTAGGGTTTAGGGTTTAGGGTTTAGGGTTTAGGGTTTAGGGTTAAACGGTTTAGGGTTTACTACTTGGAGGTTCATGGTACTTAGTAACCCAATTATAACTGTACTTAGAACCCAATTCTAACCCTCTCAGGGTACTTAAGGGGCTTATATGTGGGTTATAACTACCTGATAATGGGTCACTAAGTACCCTGAACCTCCAACGAGGGGATCCGAGGAACGGGCCTGTAATTTGGGTCCCCTGTGATACAACCCTTACATACACTATACGTAATGAGGGCCCCATTCTTCGCATCCCTGTAATTCCCTTTCAACAAGGGTAAGGGGCCATACTAAGGGCCTATGGCTCCAACCTTGGATTCAGGGATTAGGGAGTTTTAGGGTTTAGGGTTTCGGGTTTAGGGTTTAGGGTTTAGGGTTTAGGGTTTAGGGTTTAGGGTTTAGGTCTAGGGAGTGTAAGGGGTTCTGGGGTTCTTACAAAGTTGTTGCTGGGGCGTACTTTAGAAGACACAATCCCTACGCGACTGCAGGACGCGATAGTCCAATACAGGGGTCGGAACGATTACTAATAGGATTCGCTTACGGTCCCTATATATTTAAAGTATAGTAACCCCCCAAAACCCTAAACCCTAAACCCTGTTATCCCCTATAAGAATTTCAAGGCCCCTATATTTTAGAGAAGGGCTTCGGGTTAATCCATTTAAGGCCTCAGCGCTTGGCACTGCAAGCTTTCACTCAACCCTATACCGTTTGAAGCCTGAAACCCTAAACCCCACACAAACTTAAACTCCACACCCTCAACCCTAAACCCTAAACGCGAACCCTCAACCCTAAACCCTGCGCCAACTTAAGCCGCAAACTCTCTACTCTCGTCCGGCGTTGCCTCTTCCGTCTCCTGTTGCTGGCGCTGGGCCATAGCCAGTGCTGCCTGGTGGGCTCATCAAGGCAACCCTAAACCCTAAACCCTAGACCCTAGACCCTAGACCCTAAACCCTAGACCCTAGACCCTAGACCCTAAACCCTAAACCTCTGCAGGGCCTTCAAGGGGCTGAGTGCTTTGAGGAGGCGCCGTTGAGCTAGGGTGTACACAGTGCCTAAACCCTAAACCCTAATCCCCAAACCCTAAACCCTAAACCCCAAACCCTAAGCCCTCCGTGGCTCCCCATAGAAACCCTTCGACGCCTCCGTGTCCGCTCGAAGCCTCCCTTCAGACACCAGAGCTGCCTGGCAACAAAAACATCACCACAGGCAGGGTTTAGGGCTTCGGGTTTAGGGTTCAGGGTTTAGGCGGTGTACGGTCTCTACATGGTAGTATAATGATATGAGAAGTTATAATTACCGAATCATATAAGAAGTGCATGATAGGCCCTAACTTTGGGGCATGCTAAACTACAGTATACGGAGTATACTTGAACAGATCCAAGCCCCAGTTTAGATCCCCTTGTCGAGCTGTGCCTAAACCCTGAACCCTAAACCCTAAACAGTAAACTCTAAACCCTAAACCCTAAACCCGAAACCCTAAACCCCAAACCCTAAACCCTAAACCCTAAACCCCAAACCCCAAACCCTAAACCCTTCTCGGGTCCAGGTTCCCTCATACTCCCCACTGCTCCCTAAGGCACCCGAAGCTTGGCTCCCCAAGCTTCCCTAAGGTTCCCTCGGCACCTAGGGTTTAGGGTTGAGGATTTAGGGTTTAGGGTTTAGGGTTTACGGTTTAGGGTTGAAATTGCCTCCCTTAAGGACCCTAGAACCCTACTCTGGAGTAGACCCTGGAAAAAATGTATATACTTTTTAGGCATAAGTAGCTATACTAGGAGCCCAGAAGCAAACAAAAGCATTAAAGTATAGCACTCCAAAACCCAGATAATACCCTGGCTTCAGTAGATTGTAGGAGCGGTCAGCAACAAAAATCAGAGAGGGCAGAATTTAGGCTTTTTGGGGTTCAGGGATTGAAGTGACATCACTCGTAGAGTTTGGGGTTTAGGGGGATCGTTTGCGGTCACCGGTTTCCTGCCGCCCTGCGGAAAACATATGTGAGAAAGCAGGCGTGAACTGTGGACAACCACCCGCAGCGCAACCCCCAAAAAACCTCAACCCCCCCCCCCCCCCAGTGCTAAAACATCCTGCCGCATGGTTTTCCGTCGTAGATTTACATGTCTGCTTTTGAAAATACACGTTTTTTCCATGGTTTTCTGTGTTTTTTCAAGGCCTTCGAATCTCAAACAAACATGCTCCGTTCGTGCGGAATTGTTTAAAACCTCGGGTTTTGGCACATTCACGGGCGTCACATTTCGAGTTGGGCGAATTCAGGTCGTGAGCAGCAAAAACGCTGGTATTTACAGTGTTTTCGGGTTTTGCAGGCCAAATATCAGAGTTTTCAGAAAACGCAGATTTTTATGTTTTTGTTGCATTGTTAGCGTTGTTGGAAAACGTCTGGGTGGCATGGTTGATAATATGTATGTTCTGACAGGGGAATAGTATGTTATTAGTACAGCATACTCTTGCTATTATGCAGTGTATACATTATGCACAAGCACAGAATTCTTTTGTTGGCAAGCTCGAGGGTTCAAGTTTGGACTTCTCCAGCTCACGTGCTGAGCTGGCTTAGGCATTGCTTTGTGATGTGCAGTTCTTTTGGTGGGTGGGAGTAGGAGAGTTTGGAACCCTACACTTTAAACCTGAAAACCGAAAGCCACAAGAGGTCGGGTTTAGTTTCGGGGTCTAGGCTTAGGTTAGGCTTTTTTCAGGGTTTTCTTTGGGGAGTTTGGGGCTGCACTTGTTTGGGATATCAGGGCTGCACTGCTTTGGGGTGTCAGGGCTGCACTGCCTCGGGAAGTCGGGCTTCTTTGTGGGGACGGGAGTTTGGAACCCCAATGGCTGCACGCAAGACACCACCCCCCACCCCCCCCCACCCACCCCGAAACTCAGATGTACAATTCGTGCGTTTTACCTGACGGTAATCCATGCAGTAGCTAACACATGAAGTCTACAGCATATTCCTTGCAGTTTAGGGTTTACGGGTCTAGTGCCTGGGGTGCTGCATGGCAGTATAAGAGACAATGGTCACTGAGATGCACGGCCAGGGCCTCACATCAGGGCGTACATTTGCGCAATATTATGGGGGTTTACGAAAATCGGGGACCCCTAGAATGATAGACCCCCCAAAATAGTAGGATCCCCTTGTATCCCAGTAAGGAACCGCTAATTTCGGAAACCCCCAGGCAACGGGCTTGTCCGCCCCCTCCACGCGAAGTCCTGAAGCTTAGACCTAAAACAAAAAAGCCAAGCCCAACCCTGGTAAGCCCCCGAAGAACCCTAACCGAAACCCTAAACCCTAAACCCTAAACCCTAAACCCTAAACCCTAAACCCTAAACCCTAAACCCTAAACCCTAAACCCTAAACCCTAAACCCTAAACCCCCAAACCCCCAAAACCCCCAAACCCCCGGAGACCGACCTTGGCTTCCTCCAGCAGAGTCTGCCGATGCTCGTGCAGCTGCCTCTCCTTTGCAAGGCACTCCTCGGCGCACGGCTTCAGCAAAGGGTTTAGGGTTTAGGGTTTAGAGTTTAGGGTTTAGGGTTTAGGGTTTAGGGTTAGGGTTATTTTAACACAGGACTTCTAGGTCCTTAGAAGAACCTAAAACGGTACTAATGTGGATACAAGATTCGGAATAATGTTATTGAGATTCATACGACTAATACGATGAATAATGTTACGAGTATTAAGAAGATGGCTCATATGAATCAGATTATTAATCATATGGACCATATTGGTGATATTAATCAGAAAAATCATAATAATCAAATGAGTGATATTAGTAATATAAACAACATTTATAACAGCAATAACTTTAATAATACTAAAATGTTGATTCATAATATCTGTCATATGAATATTCATAAGGTTCATACTCATCATATGCGCAATACAACATTATTCTAGTAAGAACATAGCCATATAAATTGTAGGTAGTAACAATAATATTACACTCATTATAAATAAGCCTGATATTGACATATATATATACATATATATATATATACATATATATATATATATACATATATATATATATGTATGACGATTTTGGGGTCTTAGAGTTCTTAGTGGGTTAAGGGCTTTAGGGCTTCGAGGAAGTCAAAGCTTTTCGGGTCTTTGGGGTGAGGGCGTCAAGGGCGTTTCGGGTACCTCTGTTCCCCCTTATACTAACAATAGTCAACACAGATTGTAATAGGGGGTACTGTAATCCCAATTAAGGACTGTTAGTATAAGGGGGAACATCCCACCCTAAAGCCCTAAATCTTAATGGTTAGGCTGCCGAGTGAGATCCCTCAAAGGGGCTGGGAGGGCTGCGGCTTCAGGGTTCCGGTCGATGAGATGGACCAGACCGACTGGCAGACCAACCACCTCATTGATAAACCCGTAGACCGACCAAGGGACCCCGACAAAAGACACACTCTCGCTCGCTCGCTCGCTCTCTCTCTCTCTCTCTTGAAGGTTCTGCATCTTCAAGAGTCAAGGTCAAAGTCTGTCCAAGTCTAGCCTTGTGCGCCCTTGGCACTTCCTCCTTCGGGAGAAATCTCACGAAAGGCTGTCAAACAAACCCCGAGAACTGTGGCAGCCTCGATAAAGAGAGGGAGGCCGTAGTTGGAGGAATCTGAAGGGTACACAAACATGGAGATCTCCCCTACGGGCCAAGCCGTGTCATGCCACGAGTGCCGCCATGCCTTGCTAGAAATGTGGGCAAGGTCGGACCACATCTGTTCGCCCAGCCAGAGGCTGAACACCAGGACCGCAACGCCAATCCGAAATCGCCAAGCACTCTTCTGCCCCGGGTCGATGGGTTCCTTTTCCGCGTTTGTAGGATGCCAAACGGCATGCAGCAGCATCATCTGCACCAGGGTCTGATGTACAAAGTTCGGCCCAATGAAAAAGAAGACGGCCACATGAAAGGAGGTCGTCAGCAGGATCCAGCATGTCCGCAGCCAACGGGCGAAATCGGAGTTGGAGGCTGCCAGAAAGAGCAGGGCCAAAGGAAGGTAGAGCTCCACCAACATGACGCCGAAGGACAGAGCCGCCGGAGCCCACTGAGACTGCGCAACCCATCTGTTGACATGCGGGAAGGCGGACCTGCGGAAGTCAGAACCCGACTGCCGAATACAAAGAAACAGCGGCATCTGATAGGTAGGAAACAGACAAATCTATGATGTTGCAACGTAATACAAAGAAAATGCGAATAAGATTGATAAGAAAGATATATATATATAACATGCATTATATATATATATGTATGACTTTGAAATATAGATGGATCTACATGCACACCCACTCTACCAAGCCAGTCAAGGCCACAAGCCCTAAACCCTAAACCCTAAACCTTAAACCCTAAACCCTAAACCCTAGACCCTAAACCCTACACCCTAAACCCTAAGCCCTAAACCCTAAACCCTAAACCCTAAACCCTAAACCCTAAACCCTAAACCCTAAACCCTAGCTTCTGTCTGCGTCATCGTTTTCGGGCTCCCTGCCTCTCAACGTTGTCAGTCGTAGCTTTGCTCAGCCAGCGGCCGGACAACACCGAGGCCAGTCCTTCCACACAAAAGAAGGTTTAGGTTTAGGGTTTAGGGTCCAGGGTTTGCGGCCGCGCAGAGGCCTTGTGCCGCCCAAGAATTTCCAATATGAGCAAGTATATGTTGTTTTAAATTCTAGTAACAAGCCTAAGGTTGTAGGGTTCCCTTGCGCCTCGCCCTTGCGCTGCCTTGGGCCGTGCTAGTGTTAGGCCACGCCGGCAAACATGCTAACCACAAAACGTGGTACCGACAAGCCCCCTAGGGCCCTCACAAACCTTGCTTGCTCTAGACATCCCGGTGTCGAAGCTGTCCCTGGCCCTGGCGAAGCTGTTCATTTTTTGTCTTCCTGCTTCCTGGAAAAACGACCCTCTGCTAAGGCCCGTGGTTTCACATCGGCCATGCTGTCTTGCGCCAGCCTTGCGAGTCCCTTGCGCCACCCTTGGGCGAAACCTAAACCTTTGTTTCGGGGCGGGGCAAGCACCCCAGCGGAGGGGGGGGGGGGGGGGGGGGGGGGGGCGCAGTCGCCCCCCATTTGCAAATACTTGGCTTGTGTGCCAGATTTTAGAGACTGTGCTTGCGAGATTTTGAGCGGTGGGTTGGGGCCCCTCCACTTGCAAATAGTGCAGCAACAAAGAAAAGTTACATAAATATTGGGCATCCCGAGCAAGTACTCTGTTTAAATATTTGCACATACTCCAGCGGGAGGGTTGGGGGGCCACAGCCCCCACATTTGCAAATGCTTGGCTTGCATGCCGGGTTTTAGTGACTGTGCTTGTGTGAGAGATTTTGAGCGGGGTGCCTCTTGAAAAGCCTAAAAAACGGGGTGCGCGACAAGCAAATACTCGGCTCTCTCAGCACCAGCGCATGCCGGAAAGTACGCGCCTGCCGATGTTCTTGTACTCAAACACAAAGAGGCCACCCGTGGTTGAAGGCAGCACAAGGCCACTCCCCGAGGGTTCAGGGTTCAGGGTTCAGGGTTTAGGGTTTAGGGTTTAGGGTTTGAGGGTTTAAGGGTTGAGGGTTTTGCCATTGCGGGCAGCACAAGGCCGCTCCCCGAGGGTTCAGGGTTCAGGGTTTGAGGGTTTAGGGTTTGAGGGTTTTAGGGTTGAGGGTGTTACCAAAATAGCTTTAGCTTTCATCTCGTCCTGCGTACCGGAGCTTCGACAGCCCTGCAGAAAGATAAAAGGGCAAGACGTCGCAGACCAGAAAGAACCTGGGCACTCCCAAATATTCCTATTCCTTTAGGATGTTCACCCTTATGCATCTTATACTAACAGTCCTTAGGAATTGTCGTACCTCCTATTCTAATCCCTCATAAGGACTTTTAGTATAAAAGGGAACATCCCAACCCACTCCCTTTTAACTAAGAACCTGTGAACAGACAAAGCGTCCTGAGCACTGCCCAAAGAGCTTCCCGAGCCAGGCCTGTTTACGTTGAGACTCCATTGAGAAGCAGGCCGCCAGGAGGAAGAAGTAGGTGGGGTGGACGTCAAAAGTTTGCTGAAACATAACGAGCAGGCTCCTGAGAACACTGCATGAGGGCCTTCAAAAGCATAAAAGGGTGTGGCGCACCCTCTGTTGCTTTTAATACAGGTGCGTCTTTGTGTACTCACCTAGGCCAGGCTTTCGTTTTGGGTCCAACTCGGGCTATCACCTTCTTTGCACATAGAAGAATTGGCATGTTCCCCCATATACTAGCAGTCCTTCATAAGGATTACAATAGGGGGGTACCATAATCCCGATTAAGGAGCTGTTAGTATAAGGGCGAACATCCCAATGTACAAGTTTCAGCAGCCCCCCAGAAAACCTCTTCCCTTTGCAACCCACATCTCCTTCCTAAGGCCCTGTCCCCCATTTGTACAACTTCAACGAAAGCCCGCCCACTCCCCCCCCCCCCCCCGGGCAAAAAGAAAAAAAACAGGTACTACTTGAGTACTTGAAAATACAGCGAGGCGGTATTGTGGTGGAGGGTGGGTGACGGGCGCCTTTGCTTCATTTGTGGACGAAACCACTATTCCGGATCAGAGGACCATGGGGCAGAGTCTAGGAGACCGGAGGACCAGGGGTCCAGCCAGGCTACCAAGGGATTTAGCCGCACCTGCAAAAACACAAAAGCAAAACAGGCGGACCACACCTTGCAAAAACCCGGCCATGCGCCTCTCTAAACCCACCCTATAATCAGGTGCCCCAGGCTCGCCATGAGCACGTAGAAGACGGCTCCCCAGGTGAAGCAGACCCTGGAGGCTTTAGCCGAGGTGGGGAGGGCAAGGAAGGCACACCAAGATGCCAGCACCGATAACCTCACGATCGCAAAGGCTGCGGCGTAGCCGTCTGCGGTGGCATCGCTTAAGCCAGGCATGAAGAGGTACGTCAGGCGCGGCATCAGCCCCAAACCGGCAGATGTGAAGCCCTGTCCAAAGCCCAGGTCCCCTTGGCTGCCGTAGGGGTGAGCCCGGACGCGCCGTAGTACCTCTGGCAGGGCAAAGACATCCGTCTGTGGCAGCGTCAGGCCCAGGAGCTCGATGAGCAGCAAGGCTGCGACGAAAGCCTTCAAGGCCTTCGGCGTGACCCGTGGGCCAGAGCCCCACCAATCGTGGCACCGGTCGGCGTCCTCCCTTCGGGCGGCAGGGGCGGTATCCTCCGGAGCGGCCAACTCAGCACTCTTCTCTGGCTTTGCCATGAGGCCACAGGCCGCGCAGAGGAGCACCGCCGGCACAAACCAGGCAGAACCGATGCCCAGCATGTCTTCATGTAAGTCCACCAGTGCCATGGTGGAGACCTTGAAGGCGGGCAAGGTGTCATCCAGGCAGATTCTAGGGAACGTCGAGCAGAGGCGAGGGTGGGCGCGCTTCCACTCTGGCCACTGCTGCAGGGGCCCCGCGATGGGCACCTCGGCCGGTGTAAAGTTGCCTTCCAGTCCTTCACGCCCTGTTGCCAGGTTTCCTGGCGACATGTTCTGTCAACACACGCCATCATGTACTGAGGATAGGCGTAGCTTGACATGATGATCTATTTGTCAGTGAGGCTGCTTGGCATGATGCTATCTCAGGGAGGCAAGGATTCACTGCATGGCCCAGCCTGTCAGCCTTGCCGCCACGAGCTGGAAGTTCGGGCGGCTGAAAGCGCCGCAGCGGGTGACCGGGAGAAGAAGGCCCAGCCACCATACTGCAACATGAGATCGCATCTTGAAGCTTATGAACGGGTTCGGTTCGCGAGCATGTTGCGGCGAGGGGTCTGCCACCGCGAACAGGCCTGAGAGTAAAGGGGCAGCGGCCTAGGATGGTCCAAAACTCAAATCGCGGTGCCCCCCCCCCCCCCCAAACCCTAAACCCTAAACCTAATCAGGGATTGATGCCTGTAGCATCAAGAGGCTACGCCGTCCTGAAACGTCCCAGCATCTCTCCCCCCTTCTTTCACCTAGCGCCACCCTGGACCCTAAATACGGATTCAGGGGTCAGGGTTTAGGGCTTAGGGTTTAGGGTTCATAATTAGAAGAGGGTTTGGGGTATATTATTGTATAGATATATTCTTTAGTTCGACTCCTATTCTAAACCCCCTGAGTAACAGAAACCCTAAACCCTAAACCCTAAACCCAGGGCTTCGGGATTTCGTAAACCCAAGAATCACCAATTGAGGGTTTACGAAAATAGGGAACCCCTAACATATCTATAGTCCCCCAAACAAAGGAAAGAGTCCCTTATACTGAGGACCTCAAATAAGGTACCCCGAATGTCGGAAACCCCAAAAGGTCCAATTCCAAGGCGCCACGGCCAACTCGGCCCTACCCTGCTCCGATGTAGCCAGGGCCTCCAGGCAGATGAAGGAGCAATGAGGTCTCAGGATTTTGGGTTTAGGGCCTAGGGTTTAGGGTTTCAGGGTTTCAGGCTTATGGCTTGGGTTTTCGGGTTTAGGGTCATGCTGCTTACAGCTCTTCTCAAGCACCCGGGTAGTTTCCCACACCAGGGCCCCTTTAGGGGTCCACAGTGATAGTACGGCACGTTGTATGATCGCACCCGTGTCGCAAGAACCGATTTTAGCCAACCAACTAGGCTAGGGCGCCATATCTTACATGGTTGTTTTCTGGAGGTCTGGAGGTTAATTGGGCATTCAATGGCATTGGGGCAGAGGATTTTGGGAGTGCACAGCCCTTCGGGTTCTTTGTATGAATTCAGGTCAAGGATTTCCGGGACCCCAGGCGAGCGCGCCCGATAATTACTTGTGCAATTGACGATACCTGGGATGCCGACGTCCGCCGGGGCTCCCCAAAGCGTGAGAAGAATAGGCAAGAGCGTCTTGGGCACGTGCGTGAAACCCGAAACCCTAAACCCTAAACAGCCTAAACCCCAAACCCTAAACCGTAAATCGGCACCTGGGTGAGAGTGCCGGGGCCCATTGTGAACAACGAGAACTTCAGTCGAATATTCGACGTCTCGGCGTGTGCGTGGGCGCTACTGGGACACGCCTTCAATTCCCGTTTGTGCACCTGAAAACCCCAGAAAACGTCAAAGCCCAAAACCCAAGCAACTAAACCCTAAAACCCCAAACCCGTCATTCCGAAACCTGAGCCCTAAACCCTAAAAACCCTAAAACCCTAATCTCCTGGCCCTAACACCCTAAAACCCTAAAACCCTAAAACCCTAAAACCCTAAAACCCTAAAACCCTAAAACCCTGTAACCCTGTAAACCCTCTGAACCCCACATTCGCTCCTCAGCATGCTGCCGGGCAGATGCCTCGCGGCGTCTCGCCGCCTGAGCATTGGCTTCCGTAGTTCCTATCTTTTGATTTGGGGTGTAGGGTGTAGGGTGTAGGGTGTAGGGTTTAGGGTTTAGGGTTTAGGGTTTAGGGTTTAGGGTTTAGGGTTTAGGGTGTAGGGTGTAGGGTGTAGGGTTTAGGGTTTAGGGTTTAGGTGGCAGTACACTAAATTCGGGTCCCTCGGCACCTGGCGAGGGCATGAGGTGCAGAATCTGATTCCGTGATTTCTCTGCGCAGTTTGGTCCCTGACCTTTCAGTACCTTGTGTGCGTGCGTTGCAAACTCTTGTGCCCAAAGTCGGCATCCTAAACCCTAAACCCTAATCCCTAAACCCCGTATTTGCCTCTAAGCAATTCCTAAGGGTACAGCAGGTTGTGGGTTGAGGGCTTCGGCTGGCCTCCAATAAAGCGCACCCAGGAAGATCCTGGCGCTGCAGGCGATTCCTGGGTTTTTTGGTGGTGGGGCCTAAGGCTTTAGGGGGTCAGGGGTTCAGAAAGGCTGCGCTGTGGGGCCTGCGTTTTCGAAATGCTTCTTTTTAAAGGCTTCACGAGGTTATGCAGAGTCACAGCTTTGGTATCTAAATATCCAGAAGATAAGAGTTCAAAATGTTCATGTCCAGAGGGTGAAGCTTTACGATGCCTTTGGTGTCTTAATGACCTAATGCTGATTGTTCAAATCCGAGTGGTTGAGGAGTCGTGGTAGTATTGTTACAATATTCACATTCTTACTGACTAGGTGTCTTCGCTTGGTATGTAATCTGCGTACGCAATCTTGATTCTTGATGGAAAGACCTTTTGTCGCACAACGTTGGAACACGTTGCGGATGTAGGTTGCAAAGGGGGCATGGGGGGGGGAGGGGAGGGGAGGGGGGAAGGGGGGAGGGGGAGGGGGGAGACTGATGGGCGCTGGTCTTGCAAAGTTGATGGGGGCTTGAGGGGTTGCAGGGGCTTCTGGTGTAGGAGGCAAACTGAGGAAGATCAGCGGGGTGCTACTGCACCACGCTTCCGCGTGTAAAGCCCTCAACGGTCAAAGGTTGAGAGCTTTCAGGGACTTTGGGCTTTAGGGGACTTAAAAGGGGTATAGGGTTTAGTTTTGAAAGAACCCTACCCAACCCTAAACCCTGAACCCTCAACCCTAAACCCTAGGGGTTCATGCGGCTGCGAAAGAACCCAAAGGGCTGCCCAGCCGCAGCCAAATGCCGGCTGCCGCATCCACAGCTCCGAGGTCCAAGGAGGGCGCCATGTGAGGTCCCGGGTTTTGGGTTTAGGCTTTAGGGTTTAGGGTGGTTTATGGCTTTAGGGCTTAGGGGTTTAGGGTTTAGGGGTCTAGGGTTTAGGGTTTAACGTTAGGGGGGCCGGGTTTAGGGTCTCATATAGGGGCCTTAATTAGAATAGGGTTTTTGGGGGTTACTATACTTTGATAGGGACCATACGGGAATACCTCCTTAGTAAATCTTGCGACCCCTATATGATTAAGGGTTCAGGGATTGGCCTTTGAACACTTGGCAGCACGTTGCGCATCGCTCTGGGCAATGTATGCATGGAGTGGGCACAGGCTGCCTAAACCGTTTCCTCTGAGCTTCCAGTATGAGCTCCACTCCCCCAACCCGTGAAAAAGGTTTAGGGTTTAGGGTTTAGGGTTTAGGGTTTAGGGTTTAGGGTTTAGGGTTTAGGGTTTAGGGTTTAGGGTTTAGGGTTTAGGGTTTAGGGCTTAGGGTTTACACCTCGAGCCCCAAAAGTCCATGCTAGGCCTTACCTGACCGAAGCTCCACAAGCATGGAGAAGAAACACACGGAAGAAGCGCCAAACCTCGCATCTCCAGCTGCGAAAAGGCCTGCCTTGTGTAGCTAAGCGATTGCTGAAACAGAGGCTGTCTGTCTCATAGAAGAAATGTTGAGTGAGGAGCTCTCATGGAAAATGTTGATTGAGGAACAAGCTCCCGCTTCATGCACCTTTGGCACTTTCTCCTTCGAAAGGAGAAATCTCATGGACGGTTTTCAGGCAAAGCCCGAGAAGCGTGGCAATCTCTATGAAGAGAGTGAGGACGTAGTTGGAGGAATCGGAAGGAGACACGAACATCGCCATCTCCCCTACAGGCCAAGCCATATTATGCCATGAGTACCGCCATGCCTTGCTAGAAATGTGGGCAAGGTCGGACCAAACCTGGTTGCCAAGCCAGAGGCTGAACACCAGAACCGCAGCGCCGATCCGAAATCGCCAAGCTCTCTGCTGCCCCGGGTCGATGGCTTCCTTTTGCGCGTTTGTAGGATGCCAAACGGCATGCAGCAGCATCATCTGCACCAGGGTCTGATGTACAAAGTTCGGCTCAATGAACAAGAAGACGGCCACATGAAAGGAGGTCGTCAGCAGGATCCAGCATGTCCGCAGCCAACGGGCGAAATCGGAGTGGGAGCTTGCCAGAAAGAGCAGTGCCAAGGGAAGGTAGAACTCGACCAACATGACACCGAAGGACAGAACCGCCGGAGCCCAATGAGACTGCGCAACCCATCTGTTGACATGCGGGAATTCGGACCTGCGGAAGTCAGAGCCCGACTGCCGAATACAAAGAAACAGCGGCATCTGATAGGCAGGAAACATACAAATCTATCATGTTGTAACGTAACACAAACAAAATGCGAATAAGGTTGATAAGAAAGAGAGAGAGATATACATAATATGCACATATATATATATATGTATATGATTGTGTAGTACAGATGGATCTACATGCACACCCACTCTACCAAGCCAGTCATTGCTGCAAGCCCTAAACCCTAAACCCTAACCCTAGACCCTAAACCCTACACCCTAAACCCTAAGCCCTAAACCCTAAACCCTAAACCCTAAACCCTAGCTTCTGTCTGCGTCATCGTTTTCGGGCTCCCGGCCTCGGAACGTTGTCAGCCGCAGCTTTGCTCAGCCAGCGGCCGGACAACACCGAGGCCAGTCCTTCCACACAAAAGAAGGTTTAGGGTTTAGGGTTTAGGGTTTAGGGTTTAGGGTTTTAGGGTTTAGGGTTTAGGGTTTAGGGTTTAGGGTTTAGGGTTTAGGGTTTAGGGTTTAGGGTTTAGGGTTTAGGGTTTAGGGTTTAGGGTTTAGGGTTTAGGGTTTAGGGTTTAGGGTTAGGTTTTAGGGTTTAGGGTTTAGGGTTTAGGGTTTAGGGTTTAGGGTGCAGGTGTTAGGGTTTTAGGGTTTTAGGGTTTAGGGTTTAGGGTTTTAGGGTTTTAGGGTTTTAGGGTTTTAGGGTTTTAGGGTTAGGGTTTTAGGGTTTTAGGGTAGGGTTTTAGGGTTTTAGGGTTTTAGGGTTTTAGGGTTTTAGGGTTTTAGGGTTTTAGGGTTTTAGGGTTTTAGGGTTTTAGGGTTTTAGGGTTTTAGGGTTTTAGGGTTTTAGGGTTTTAGGGTTTTAGGGTTTTAGGACTTTAGGGTTCTAGGGTTCTAGGGTTTTAGGGTTTCAGGGTTTCAGGGTTTCAGGGTTTTAGGGTTTTAGGGTTTTTAGGGTTTTGCCAATTTAGCCTTAGCTTTCGGGCTCTGTTGCGGGTGGAGACCACATCTCGTCCTGCGTACCGGAGCTTCGACAGCCCTGCAGAAAGATAAAATGGCAAGACGTCGCAGACCAGAAGGAACCTTCGCGCGACTTTGGTGGATGCCCTTTGGCACTTTCCTAACATATTTCTATTCTCTTGGGATGTTCCCCCTTCTACTAAGAGATCCTTAACAGGGACGAACAGCTCCTTAATAGGGATTCTAGTACCCCGATCATAATCCCTATAAAGGACTGTTACGTAGTATAAGGGTGAACATCCCAACCTATGCCCTTTTAGCTAAGAACCTGTGAACAGACAAAGCGTCCTGAGCATTGCCCAAAGAGCTTCCCGAGCCAGGCCTGTTTACGTTGAGATTCCAGTGAGAAGCAGGCCGCCAGGAGGAAGAAGTAGGTGGGGTGGACGTCAACAGTTTGCTGAAACATGACGAGCAGGCTCCTGAGACTGTCAAGAGCCCAAAAAAAAACGTGTGGCTCACCCTCTGTCGCGTGATATCACTTGGGATGTTCCCCCTTATGCGAACCGTCCTTAGTAGGGATGAGAGTACCCCTAAACCCTAAACCCTAAACCCTAAACCCTAAACCCTATTCAGGACTGTTAGTATGATGGGGGAACATCCCAAGCGACCACCTTCTTTGCACATAGAAGAGTGTACAAGTGTTAGCAAAGCAGTGGGGAGGCACGACCTCTTCCCTTTGCAACCCACATCTCCCTTTTAAGGTGCCAGCCATGTCCCCCATATTTGTACAACTTTAACGACAGCCCCCCGGGTCCAGCCAGGCTACCCAACGATTTAGCCGCACCTGCAAATACACAAAAGCAAAACAGGCGGACCACACCTTGCAAAAACCCGGCCATGCGCCTCTCTAAAACCCCACTCTAATCAGGTGCCCCAGGCTCGCCATGAGCACGTAGAAGACAGCTCCCCAGGTGAAGCAGACCCTGGAGGCTTTAGCCGAGGTGGGGAGGGCAAGGAAGGCACACCAAGACGCCAGCACCGATAACCTCACGATCGCAAAGGCTGCGGCGTAGCCGTCTGCGGTGGCATCGCTTAAGCCTGGCATGAAGAGGTACGTCAGGCGCGGCATCAGCCCCAAGCCGGCCGATGTGAAACCCTGTCCAAAGCCCAGGTCCCCTTGGCTCCCGTAGGGGTGAGCCCGGACACGCCGGAGCACCTCCGGCAGGGTAAAGACATCCGTCTGTGGCACTGTCAGGCCCAGCAGCTCGATGAGCAGCAAGGCTGCGACGAAAGCCTTCAAGGCCTTCGGCGTGACCCGTGGGCCAGAGCCCCACCAATCGATGCACCGGTCGACGTCCTCCCTTCGGGAGGCAGGGGCCATGTCTTCCGCAGCGGCGAGTTCAGCACTCTTCTCTGGCTTTGCCATGAGGCCGCAAGCCGCGCAGAGGAGCACCGCCGGCACAAACCAGGCAGAACCGATGCCCAGCATGTCTTCATGTAAGTCCGCCAGTGCCATGGTGGTGATCTTGAAGGCGGGCGGGGTGTCATCCAGGCAGATTCTAGGGAACGTCGAGCAAAGGCGAGGATGGGCACGCTTCCACTCCGGCCACTGTTGCAGTGTCCCCGCGATGGGCACCTCAGCCGGTGTAAAGTTGCCTTCCAGTCCTTCACGCCCTGTTGCCAGGTTTCCTGGCGACGTGTTCTGTCCACACACGCCAATCATGTACTGAGGGCAGACGTAGCTAGACGTGATACCATATATGGCACAAAACACAAAAATGGGGGGACTCCCGCTTGCCCCCCCCCCCCCCTCAAATTATTAATCTTTGGGGGGGGGGGGGGGATTTACTACATGGCCCAGCCTGTCAGCCTTGCCGCCACGAGTTGGAAGTTCGGGCGGCTGAAAGCGCTGCAGGGGGTGACCGGGAGAAGAAGGCCCAGCCACCATACTGCAACATGAGATCGCATTTTGAAGCTTATGAACGGGTTCGGTTCGCGAGCATGTTGCGGCGAGGGGTCTGCCACCGCGAACAGGCCTGAGAGTAAAGGGGCAGCAGGCCTCTCATGGTCCAAAAAGCAAGTCCTGACACCCCAGGCCCCCCCCCAATTTCACTGCAGCGCTTGCATCTGCAGGTCTTGCAGCGACGAACTGGCACCCTAAACCCTAATTGGGGATTGAGGGCTGTCAGTTATGATACCATGACCTGCTGTCATCTCTACTGCGGTCCTTGCTACAGCACTGCTTTGCTCGGTCTTGCATGAACAGACATCTGCCGGGCTTTCGTAGGGTTTAGGGTTTAGGGTTTAGGGTTTAGGGTCTAGGGTCTAGGGCTTAGGGTTTAAATAGGGTTTTAGGGTTTAGGGAAATCCTAGGAAAGACTTGGCGTTGTGGGTGTTGGGCTTCAGTCGCCGCCTAATGGCCTTCGAAGGGGGTCCGACTGGGCAGCTCATTGCCCTAAACCCTAAACCCTAAACCCTAAACCCTCAACCCTCAACCCTAAACCCTAAACCCTAAACCCTAAACCCTAAACCCTAGTCGCTCTGGGCAACGTATGTAGAGCGAGCACAGACAGCCCACCACAAACCCTTGAACTTGGGATGGTCCCCCTTATACAAGCAGCCTTTAGTAGGGAATATATTAGAGGGTTCTATAGTCCCTGTTAAGGACTGCTCGTATAGGAGGAACATCCCAACCTTGAACCCGACAACCGAATGTTCTGAGCCGTGAACTCGGGACGTACAAACCTCCAACGGCCCGCAACCTCGAAACATCCAGATCGCTTGTATCGCCAAGTAGCGGCTGAAAAGACGTCCTCTCATTGAAAATTATGAATGAGGCACAGGCTCCCTTCGGGACTGCAGAGACTGGATTCCCGGAAGACGGGAAGGCAAAGGACGACCGAGAGAATCCAGGGGGGGGAAGCTGTTAAACTTCTCACGCGGTGAGACTCGTCCATTGGGATGCTCCCCCTTACACCAACGGTCCTTAATAGGGATTATAATAGGGGGTACTTTCATCGCAATTTAGGACTGTTGGTTTTAAGGGGGAACATCCCAACTCATCCATACTCCGGGCGTGAGGGCGGACGCCGGCTGGCCCTGACAAACGGCTGAGGGAGGAGGAAGTCTTGAAGATTTCGGGGCGCGTCTGTAGATGAAGGTGCACTGCATGCGCGGGTGAACAGTCTACACCTGTGGCTGACCCTTCTGACCCCTGTGGTGTTTTTTCGAGCTGGGAGCAGTCGAGCGAAAGTGGGTTTAGGGTTTAGGGTTTAGGGTTTAGGGTTTAGGGTTTAGGGTTTAGGGTTTAGGGTTTAGGGTTTAGGGTGTATGAGGACAACAGAACACTGGCATGCGGTGGCACATCTACTATGGGCTTCAAGGCTAGCTTCTAGCAGCCTGCACGTCGAAGGCAGCTATGTCGATGTTGGACAACAAACACACAGAGATGATATGGTTTAGGGTTGAGGGCATAGGGTCTGGAGCCTTGGATTCTTACAAGAATCATCCCTGGGCAAGCCCTAAACCCCAAACTCAACCCCTTACAAAAACACAGCATCCAACATACCTAAAGGACATTGGTACGGAAACCCCAGCAAGCAAGAACTCCGGAACATGGCAGGTAGTAGGATATAGCTACCAACAGCCTTGGATCCCTACATTCTACCGTTGCAATTAATCCCCAACCCACACCCTACAGACCCTAATTCAGCTTCACACTAGCAATAAACCCCAAACCCTGCCCAACAGAGAGCCCTGAGCTGCGCAAGAAATAGAAGCTGCAAATGTCCACCCCAAAATCTTCACTGCTTCTGGCAGGAACCCTAAACCCTAAACCCTAAACCCTAAACCCTAAACCCTAAACCCTAAACCCTAAACCCTGAACCCTGAACCCTAAACCCTAAACCCTAAACCCTAAACCCTAAACCCTAAACCCTAAACCCTAAACCCTAACCCTGCATCGCCCTCACTCCCGCGTTCGAGGCCTCTCCGAGCCGCCAGTGGAGGGCCGCGGAGGCGTTCGGGGCCGCAGCGCGCCCTTGGAGTTGGGGTTTAGGGTTTCGGGTTTCGGGTTTCGGGTTTAGGGTTTAGGGTTTCGGGTTTCGGGTTTAGGGTTTAGGGTTTAGGGTGTAGGGCTTAGGGTGTAGGATTTAGGGTTTAGGGATGTGTAGGGTGTAGGGTTTAGGGTTTAGGGTTTAAGGTGTAGGGTGTAGGACTTAGGGTTTAGGGTGTAGGGTGCAGGATTTAGGGCTGTCGGGCTTAAGCAACAGGCCTCCCTGATCATGTGCACGGGGAGACATGGTGATATTCTCCATGGAACGGTTCCATGAACCCTTGCGTGGCCGAATTGATGCTTTGTGCAGCGTCGTAAGATGTGCCTTGGGTTATAAGGGTTGTAAGTTATAAGGGTTATACTTGAAGGTTCAGGGGTAGTCAGAAGTAGGGTTACAAGTACCAGAGTGAAGGTATGTGAGAGTACAGGTTGCCTTCCCTTTAACCCTACTTATAGCTACCCATGAACAGCATGCTTCTCCGTCGAAGCATGCGGAGGTCAGCCGTGGACCGTGGACCTCCCTTGTCCCCTAGAAGCCCTCTTGTGGCCAAGGCGGTCAAGACGGTCAAGGCGGTCAAAGCGATTAGCACACCCCCCTTGCCGGCGCACCCGAAAGGCTTGCTAAACCCTCCACCCCGCAACCCTGAGCCCCACATCACAGGCACAACGCAGGCGAAAAGGGCGCCGGGCCGTTGGCATCTTTTTCTCTGGCTCGACTTTCCATGCCAAGCCTAGCGGGATCAGGATTCAGGGTTTAGGGCGCAACAGCTTGGGCACGAGGCTCGGACCGGATGTGATAGGTGAGGATGTCTAGGCTTTAAGACGGTTTAGAGATCAGCATTTGGAGGTATGAGCATACAGGGCTCCTAAACCCTACACAGGTTCCCAGAACGGCGAAGCTGTACAACACGACCCAACACAGGAGAAGCTGACATTCTCCTGCCTTCAAACAGGAGAATCTAGGTAGCCCAGCAACCAACTTGCAAAATACATTCTTGCCTGCATCCTCCCCCTGTAACCGTGGTACAAACTCTTTGTATTCTTCCTTTGAGGGCTTAATATGAATCTTCCTCTAAGGGCTTCATATTCATACAAAACCCTAAACCCTAAACCCTAAACCCTAAAAAGCTAGGTAAACTATAAAGAAACCTCAAGGGGAAGAAGCTACCACTTGGCATCCTGGGCTGGCAAGGCAGTCTGGGGTCGCTCGTTTAAGGTTCAGAGTTCAGAGTTCAGAGTTCAGGGTTCAGGGTTCAGGGTTCAGGGTTCAGGGTTCAGGGTTCAGGGTTCAGGGTTCAGGGTTCAGGGTTCAGGGTTTAGGGTTTAGGGTTTAGGGTTTAGGGTTTAGGGTTTAAGGTTGAGGATGTGCAGCAGGGCCCCTAAACACCCCCGGTGTCCTCAAAAGACTAGGGCTTTTGTTCTGGCCAAACAGAGTCTAGGCCCAAAAATCCCAGAACCCCTACAACCCCCCCAAACCCCTAAAACCCCTAACCCCAGGAACCCGAAAGACCCCGAAGCTTCGACGGTGGTAGCATGGATGACCGTTAGAGCCACCGAGTTGAAAATTAAGGCTCCTGCTCGGGCCCCCCCACACCCAAAAAGAATCGAAGACCCTCGAATTCCTAGTAGTGCAACCCTGAATCAACCAAAAAACTACCTTTGAACCCCAAGGTAGACATTCCTGCCCTGGCCCTCCGCCGGAAGAGAGAGCAACCAGCGAAGGACGTCAACCTGAGTGCCCCGGCAGGAAAGACCAGCTGGCCGGCTGCAAGGCTCGCGGCCCCTGACGGAAGACACGGGTGTTTACTGGCTGGGTTCTTCGTAGGGGATGAGGGAATGAGTGGTTTGTATAGGGCCCTAATTCTCTGATTCTCTACGAAGAACCAGGGGGTTTAGGTGTCGGGTGTGGGAGGGAAGGCTTCAGGGCATGAGAGTTCACAGGTCCAGCGACTTGCGCACACACACACACACACACACACACAAACACACGCAGGAGGCTCCTCCAGGCGGTTCGGCGCGCATCGCCGCGACGCTGCCCGGCAGCGCTCACCTGCACGTGCACGTGCGCACGGCCGCGTGCACATTGTCATGCACCTCGGATTTAGACAGGCGCGCGCGTTGCAGCATTTCTTGGGAGGGCGGAGGATCTTGGCTCCCCGGCCTCACCACTCCCGTCGACCCCTTGTGATGGCAAAAAACCCTAAACCCTAAACCCCAAAACCCTAAACCCAGTCTACAAATGGTGAGGGTGCCCCGGCCCCTGACAGCGGCATGAGCTGACGTGTGACATGTCGGGAACGGTGCTTGGGATCGCTGACCAAGCCCCACCCTAACTCAGTACACCCTTTAGGGTTTAGGGTTTAGGGTTTAGGGTTTAAGGTTTAGGGTTTAGGGCTTAGGGCTTAGGGCTTAGGGTTTAGGGTTTAGGGTTTAGGGTTTAGGGTTTAGAGCATAGGGTACCTATTTGGGGAGGCCGGTCTCATGCGACATCCTGAACCCCAGGAAATCCCCCTGAACCCCAGAACCCTAAAGCCTAAACCCGAAACCCTAAACCCTAAACCCTGCCAAGATCTCCGGCCTGGGGACCGCCCGCAGTGACCTTGGAATCTTTGGGAATCTGGACCCCAGTGTTCCCCCCTTGTACTAACAAGCCTGAACCCCCCCACCCTCTTTTTCAGGGTGTGTTGGGGCGCCATTTCCACGTCGTATCTACTGCCGCTGCGCGGCGGGACGCCCTAAACCCTAAACCCTAAACCCTAAACCCTAAACCCTAAACCCTAAACCCTAAACCCTAGACCCTAGACCCTAAACCCTAAACCCGAAACCCCTCCCTAAGATAGGTAGCAGGCCGAAAGCCAGGGCCACAAGGCAATCGGCGCTCTGAGGTGCAGCGCAGACTTTCGCTCCGCACGAA